GTAAGTAGAACATGAAAGGGAAAACAGAGAAGAAGGAGAAAAGATGAGAAAAAGAGGAGATAAAAGGGAGATAATGATCAAACATTTTCAGTCTGCTTCATCACCTGCAAAGAGATGTAAAAAGAACAGCACAACCAACGGACATGGTACGAGACATACAATAACGTAACACCTAGAAACTATCACTGAAGTACTATTATTTAATCTGACATGTACTCTGTGTTACCTGAAGATAGGAATATGGGCTTTCTGTATGGAAGTTAATATCTAAGTACCTGGAACCAAGCACCTGTAGTTGTTTGTAAAAGTGCACCTGTGCATGTAAAGTTTATCCAAAGAAAAAAATGCTCAGTAGTGGTTGTGGAGAGCCGAAGAGGTGCCCCCCCAGAGCATCGAGGCAAGCGCCAGGAAACTCAAATCCCCAAACGCCCAAAGGGACACCAAGAGCGAAGGCACCAAGGAGGGGCCAACCCAGGAAATCCGATCCCCACCAAGGGAGGAGGAGAGACAGCCCCAAGGAAGTCCCTCAGCCACCTCAATTTCGGAGCCCCTGGGAGCCATGGGGACGAGTCTGCGGGCTCCGCCGGCAGCCAGCCAACCCGAAGTGAATCCGGCCCTTGGCCCTCAGGAATCTGAGGCCCCAGGGGCACCCCACCCCCCGGCAGGATCCCCAGCCAGGCCCCGGCCGACCGGGTCCCGCCAGGAAGCCGCCAGGAATGAGCCAGTAGCCACCCGGGCATCCAGGCCAAACCCCAAGCTCCACCAGTGCACCAGTGAGCCCAGGCGCCAGCCAGCGGAGGGAGAGCAGGACGGGGGGAATGGGCTCCGCACTTGATGGAGACTTGAGATATGCTTGGGAGAGGAAGCAGTTCAGACCCCAACCTGGGAGAGAAAAAAAAAACAAAAAAAACTCACAGTCTCATTCACGCCTTCCAACCTTAGTGCCCCCACTCACACAACACAGAAAAAAAACGCGGACGCACATTCACACATAACACTCACATCCAATAATACCAGCACCAAAGACCCGGCGGTACCGGTGGTTGGTCCCAGGGTTATCGGATGACCCAATAAGGGAACCTAAAATCTGGTTGGGGGGGGGAGGGGAGCGGTGACTCCGCCACACCAACCCATCTCGTTCCGGCTTCTAGCCCGGCCCCCCAGCCCGCACCCGGACCAGACCACCCCGAGCAAAAGCTCCCCTGGGATCGGGGCCCACTTGCCCCGCACAGGCCATAACTTTACTGTTTTCAAACAAAATTCTGAAAAAAGTACGTTGACTAAATTTGAGTTTGTCTTTTGATGTGTGTTTATCTGGGTTTAGAAATCTTTGCAAACAAAACGTTTAATAAAGAATGAACATACATTAAAATACACTTCAATGTATTTATCAGGTAACCATTTTAATGTACATTTTAAAATACATTTTATAAAAATACATGTAAGCTATGTCACACCTTGCCCTAAAATTGGAATTTTAATGTGCATTTACAAGTCTTCATAATTCCAGGTAATTAGGATGTGCAAAATTCCATTCCATCCATCCATCCATTTTTCATCCCGCTTATCCCAAGTGGGGTCACAAGGGTGCTGGTGCCTATCTCCAGTTGTCAACGGGTGAGAGGCAGGATCCAACCTGGATATGTCGCCAGTCCATCGCAGGGCAACATGGAGACAAACAGGACAGACAACCATTCAAACACCCACTAACACCTAAGGAGAATTTAGAGAAGCCAAATAACCTAACAGTCATGTTTTTGGACATGACTGTTAGGTTAATTGGAGTACCTGGAGAGAACCCACGCATGCTCAGGGGCAACATGCAAACTCTATGCAGAAAGAGCATATGTTGGGAATCGAACCTGAAACCTTCTTCCTACAAGACAGCGGGGCTACCCCCTTTTCCACCGAACAGCCCTCTAAAGTGAAATAGTCACGTTATTTTAAAGGTTAGTGTGGGTGTAAAGCTAGTAGAAAATGAATGACTCAAAATTTCCTTTTTTTTGTTTTTTTATTATTTTTCTTAACATTCTTGTGGTTTCACGTTATTTAGTTGGTTTGATACAGTCATCGCAATTTACTACAGAATAAGCAAACAGTTAATTTTAGATAGTTTTATCTTAAATGTGAAGCCCAGATTTTCAAGGAAACCCCAGTTGCAAAAATGTTGTTTTTCCAATTAGTAATTTTCATAAAAGAGTTCTTTTCTGTCCCAACTAACAGGATTCCATGATGCGTCTGATGGAGCCAATCCTCATGTCCATGGGACCTGTTCCCATGTCTCTCATGCTCCTGTACTCTCCAGGCCTCAGGTAGATCATCCTGCCTCTGAAGCTGGACTGCTCAAACAGCAGCCAGTGGCCATCCATCACATGAACAGACTGGCAGTTGGACATGCGGTAACGCTCTTGGATGGAGTCGCAGTCTTCCATCAACTCGTTCATCTGACCACTGAAGTTCTCTCGCTCATAGATCCTCATTCTGAATGGACCTCTGTGCTGCAAGGAATCATTTTTACCAAAGAAGAGTTTTAATGGAAACATATAGAGAAATTGTGCTATTAAGTTGACATGAAAAATTCAGGAAAATAAACAACAGGACAGGTTTTACTACTTTTACTACACCTTTAAAATGTGCATACAAGAAAAAAAAATTTGGTCTACAAGTGACCTTGTGATCAGATTTTCATTTAAAAAAAAACCTGCAGATGAAACTATTTTTTTTTCTTTGGTAGTGTAGTTATAGTTCCTTACCAAAGGGATCATGCGGCAGGAGCGGATGCAGTCACTCATGCTCATTCCCATTAGCCGCTGGTTGTCAGGGTACTCTCCTCGCCTAATAAGCATCTGGTGGCCCATGAAATTTGGACGTTCATAGACCATGAAGCAGCCGCTCTCCACCCTGCAGGAGTTACAGCGGCTCAGGTAAGAGGTCAGCTCTGCACAGTCACTGCTGGTCTCATAGGAGCGACCCTGGAAGTTTTTGTCCTCATAAAAGATGATCTGGAAAACAAGATAATTTCATATTATGATCAGAAATCTATCTGCTATTGTTGAAAACCCAGAAACCTCTCTTACTCTGCCCATTTTGGTGATCAGTCTTGTCCCTGATTGCACTGGTACTTTGGTAAGACCACTGTGTCACTTTTATACCCACCATGATGGCTAAATGATCTATGGAGCCATTGTTAAAAAAATATCTTACTCAGCAGCATAGCATACGGGGCTATAATGTTTGGTAAATAGCTCTGTAAATGGTTACTATTCCACTGTGAATGCATCTGGTGCAGTGCCAACTGCAGTGGCAGTGCTATGGGTACAGGTTGGTGACAGCAGAAAGTATCAGCAGGGACTATTTGCAGTCAGAGGGATAAAAAGCACAGCTAGAAATGCTATACTCCTACATTGTTTAATCAGACTAATGCCAGAAAAGTGAAATTTGGTTTCTTGCTACACTTCCTTAACGTGTCCTGTTTGCTAAGGTAGAACTTGGAATTAATGTCCCAGTGCTGGATAAGAGTCACACAGATATGGTTTCGCAGGTAGAACATAATGGCTGTTGCCAAAAAGTTCCACTGGGTAATAATTTATAAAAACATTATTATAGGTGGCTTTGGGAAAACAATTTAAAAAAACATATGGAGACTGAGGCGGAGGGAGGATAATGAGAGGGGCTGAGAATTAAGCAGGGGGATAAACACAGAAAATACTGAAAGCTCCAAGTAATCTGCTTCAATACCTGTGTTACGACAACATATTTGAGTACATGAGACAAACATGAGGTTTAAAAGAATTGTTTTTATTCCTAATCTCTGGAACTTCTTTTTAGATCAGTTGTTTGTTTTTCTGCAAAGAGACAAAAAAAAAAAAAACAGAGAGTCAGATTTTTCCCCAGTTCCCCATGTCCGAAAAAAACTCTAAGAAAAAGCAAAAAACAAAAGTATGAACAGAAAGTTGGACCTGGTGAGCCGATCCAAAGAACCAAAAAGAAAAAAAGAAATAATTATCAACTCTAAAACTTATGTGACTCAACTAAGGTTTATACAACACTAAAAGGGTAAAAAAAAAAAAAGAAACAAAAATAATGAATGTGCCCGACGCACATAACCTGCAAGAAACAACAGTAAAAATCACACAACACGCAAAGCATGTAGTACATGCAGTACTGTAAATACATGTATGCAAAGATCAAAAGCAAAACCTATGAATATTACACGTTTAATCACAGCAACATGTAGTTGAAGCTGCAGCTTTGGCATAAGTATTACTGTGTATCTGGTCCAAAGTCCATAAGCTGTATAAAAAGCTTATACAGTGTGTTCAACCTTTATTAGCAAAAATAAATTTCAGGACTACAATGTCAAAAGAACCTTGCTCTGACAGAATGGATCTCCTCGTTCATTATTTCTGCTGAATCATTTCTGACTGTGTGGATGTAGATTTGTGCAGTGTCAGTGGAACTCCTGTGTACTGGTTAATCGCATTGTTGGGATCTGGAGAAGTTCCACCTTTCTCCAGCAGAGTTCGCCGTGGATCCTCCTGAGCTGAGCCTTCGACACACCTGAGG